AATGTTGCACATAAAGTTGCGGGGCAAGAATGTCAACAACAAACAACAAAATGGCCGTCGCAGTCATAACACTAAAGTTTTCGGTGCTATCTGGCTGAGGCAGCAGTAAATGCAATTTATTTAAACCATTACAACCATAGTCCAAGTTAAATTTTTCGTTATGTTTCTGCGGCGGTTTCACCATTTTGAAAGTGGTTTTTTCGGCTTTAAGGCCAGTCATTAAATCGATAAAATGCTGAACTTGTGCCAATATACCAAAGGTTCTAAAAAAAATGATTTCAAATGGCTTAAATTGTCTTGGCTTTCCTTTGTGCCTCTGGCTTGGACTGCAATTTATTGCAGCCAGAAAAAAAAAAACAAAAAAATGTAATACGTTTCAACAAAAAAAAAACTGCAACCCGAGGCAGCATCAGTAACAGCAGCAGTATTTATTTATTTTTTCCTAATGTCCTCAAAGCGTATGCTGAACGACTTCCTTTTGGTCGTTCTTTGTGCTCAAGGCGGATATATAATCGCCTACGACCAATTCGTGAAACCAGCTGCACAGCTGGAATTTTGCATATTCTTTTATGGAACTCTAAAAGTTTTCCTATAGTTCAGCTTATAATATGACAAGCCGTAGGGTTTAATATCAGACAACTTCGTTCTCTGTATCTTCTTTGTAAAAGAATATTTTTAGATTCTATTTATGTTAATATTGGTCATTCTTTTGTTACAAGTAAGAATTCAACGAATTCGTAATATATATAATCTATTATGCATTACAGGAACACATAACAATTCTTAAAACATTACCCCAGTTTACAACTTTGCAACATTGTGTAATAAAATAATTCCCCAGCAAGCATTTTCTTCTTATTGAAACATATTTACATGTAGTATTTACACAACCAACCGACAGTTTTGGTTACATGTCTCTTCTTCCGGAGTGGGTGTTACGTTCATAACTATTTTAGCTCTGAGTAAAGCATTCTTGTAAATGACAAACATGCCGGCTTACGTACTTGCACTCTATACAACCTGCTTGGGGAAGTCTTTGGGATTTTGCATGCCACATTGCCCAGATCCCTTTCAGTGCAGGTTTGTGTGCCAAATGCAGTGACAGAGGCTCCTCCATGCCGCCCTCCAATTTCCTTCCCTGTGCCCTAGATGCAAACATTTGTTTTACGCTTTGTCGAACGTTTCTCTGCCTTGACTTTTCTTTCGTTTCCCTTTTATTATTTTTTTTTAAGCCGAAAGTTCAGGCATCTTAGTTGCCTGTAAGCGCCTTATAATGTTTACTATATAGCGTGGTCTTCGGTTACAAGCCCCTCGACTCCGGGGAACAATTAAGGAATTAGAGGCTACTTTGGGGGCTCTTTTGACGCTCGCTGTGTGCTTGATGAGTTTTGGAATGGTTAGTGCCTTCAAATTAGTTGGGAAACAACTTGATTCTAGGATAATTAGATTTCTACTGAAAGCTCTAGTAGCTATAATAAAATGCTTCCTTTTCCCTAATTTAAATAACTTTCAGACAGCGCAGTTGGCAAATGTCCTGCGGTTTATTTTCTGGCAATTTGCTGGCAGTCGCCAGCTGCTATTTATACCGCAGTCACCAGCACCATCATCATCTTCATCCTTGGACTTATTTGAACGGATTTGAAATGGTTACTTGACTAATTGTTTTTCCAGCACCCCCCAACGACAGCTTGGCTAAAAGTTTCTGTCATAAGTCGGTGGAAGTTGGCAAAGCTGGTAATAAGAATACCCAAGCCATAAACAAATTCTTTTTAATCGCGAATACTCTCTTCGTTTTGCCATAAATAAACATTTTGCCATTCTGAGGCTCTTTGCAGTAAACTGTTAACTGCTAACAGGTTTTGGCTTTTAGCCGACACCTGAGTCTGGCTTATTGGTGTTGGTTAGCCGCACATGTACTCTACTTTTTGCGGCTGCACATGTGCGTGTGTGAAGCCAAAAATGTTGAACATGCTGCAGCGGCGGCAAAAAGTTTTTTATTCAGCTACAAGTCACACGTGAAAATGCCGGGAAAAACATGGAAAATTTCCAGCGTTTAAGCAATGAGAATTGTAATTAATTCGGTTTCGGGGATGGGGTATGAGAAATTTGATTGTTTTCCTAATGGAAAATGCATGCTTCCTGATTGAGTTAAGGGGTCTTTATTTTGATAGCCACGCATCGGAGCGGAATTCCATTTCGAATCGATTATATTCTAATACGATCCGATTCGCCTGCCATCTGAGCCCACTCGCATGTGTCCTGGCTAATTGCAAATGCACTTAGCAGCCAGCCAATCTCCCACACTCAGTAAACTCATTTGCATGTGGAACCCTCTCTGGCTCTCGACCATGTTTCTCGGACTCGGATTCGGATTCGGATTCGAGCGGAGCGGGGAGAAGCGGTCGGCACCTTGAGATGGCCCCAGGAATGGCAATCAAAATTCTCCGACTGCACGCCAATCCGGACTATGACCCACCAAGGTTACACACACCCACGATGTTTTCATTTCCTGCTAGCGAATAAATAAACGAAATTTTCGAAAAGCTCTCACAAATTCTTGTGCCATACTTTTGTTGCTGATGAAAAACAAATCTCCTTTGTTAGTTTAAATTTCGAGTGCATTGGGGGATATTTCCGTTTATTGAAGGATAAACAAAAATGGTAGGGTGCGTGGAAAGTTTCTTTTAAACTTAAGTTGCAGGACTTTGTACCTAAAATAAATGTTCCAAAAGTACCACATTAATTGTGTTACCGTTGAGAATAACTGCCAACATATGCTAATTTATAGCTTGCTTTTTGCTTTACTGCCAAGTTAGTCAGCCAAATGGATTTTGTTGTGATGGAGTAGTCCTCCTTGCCGGCAGGATTAACCATAAAAATGGCGGAGAAATGTGCTTGCAGGAGCGTAGCTGAAACCGGGAGCAGCTCCTTAGAGAGCCCGAATTTGTTGTGAGTTGCATACAGAAGAGGTTCCTATGGAATGTGAGTTATGACCGGTTTAATGTCGGATGATTTAGGTCTTTAGAGAATTTCTCTTTTTCGTACCAGTTGCAGTTGCAGTTGGTTGAATGAAACAAAAAGCCACAAATTCTGTTCAAACGGGAAACATTTTAATTGTCGCTGCCTCTACCCACGGACGAATATATCTTGGCAGCAGCTGGATCTGGAATGTTGGCAGACATGTGCCAAGTGCCAAGGAGCAGGCACCATGAAATGGCAGCTAAGAGCCGCCAAAAGTGGCGACGTTCTCTGCATGACAATGAGCAGCGAAGAAACCAACCTTTTCCCTTTGTTCAAGAGCGAAGAAAGTTATGCAGAATGGTTAGAAGGTGAAAGGGTTGTACGTACTAGAGTCCACTTTGAATATATTTGCACAACTATTGTAAGCTACCTATAAATGAACATTGCAAATGTGGGAATAAAATTAACATTAAATGGTTCTTTTATATGAGCAAAACAAATTAAGAAAGAAATCCCAGTGGAGAGAACAGTTTTTTATACTCTTTAGCAACTTAATTAAAAGCAATGTATCACCAATAAAATGCCAAATATGCAAATTAAAAAGCTTAATTTATATTAAAGCCGTAGAGAGATAGATGTGAAAATTTCCCGTTTGACTGATTATAATCAGTTTGCGTTTGTCCACATTAATTTATAAATGCCATAGAGAAAATTCTCTTTTGAAAGGAAGAATAACAGAATATGAAGGAAACTTCTAAAAGAACACTTTTCCCATTCCCAAGTGCAGGTTTTATCCCCTGTTGTCCACAGAGCTGACCGATCATTTATCAAATAACACAGCTTTGGCATGTCAAGAGGACGAAAGGAAACGATTTCCGTGCCACAAGCTTCGAATTATGCATAAAATTATTCTTCTTTCTTTTTTGTTCTCATTTTCAATAGCTGCATTTTGATTTGTATTGTTCAAGAAGTCCATCAATCATTACTTTCACTTTGCACTTTAATTTCCACGAGTTTCGCGTCAATTTCCTCTCACTTTCACTTGATTTCCCGTATTTCCGCTTCCGGTTTCGTCCGACTTCGATGTTGTTCACTTGACGGTTTATCACCGGCTTCTGGCGCCTTTTCGCCACATCCCGACTCGGCTGTAGGGTTTCGTCCTCGTTTCGATATCGAAGCACTCGGATGTGCGTGCAACCGGCATTTTTGGCCAGCGAGCAGCTGATGTGGCAAGCTGCACGTGGCACGGCCATAAAGCTTTCGCAGGGCTCTCGGGGTGTGGTGAAGACTTGTTTATGTTTTGCACATAGCGAGGGGTGAAACGAGGGTTTTTCGGGTTGTTTATGTTATTTAATTGTACTCTTTGTGATTTGTATATTTAAGAAAAAGTTACAATTGTTCACCTATGAAAATGTTTAATAACTTAGACCTAACATTTAAAATTCTGTCAGAGGTGTTTTTTTATGACCTTCCAGGGTATTTAATCATTTTATTCAGAATCCTGCAATAATATGAAGAAGTCATTTCCGACCCTACAAATCATATATATTCTTGATCAGCATCATAAGCCCATTCGATATAGCCATGTCTGATTTAAAATAATTTTTTTTTAATTTTTCAAAATTTCAAAAAATGATAAGGGGTTACATCGCTAAAATTGTCATAAATTGGCAAAATTTTAAATTTTAAGTGGAGTGTACAGATTTATTAACCTTATTAAAAAGAATACGGGAAAGCTTTCGGAATTAAAATTAATGCATTTTGGCTAAGTTATAACATTTTTAAACTTTGATTTGTCAAAGAATTTGACACAGATTTATGATCGATTTACGATTCGGCTTTCCGAAATTAGCTTCCCTCATTGTTTTTCTTCTTTCTGTGCAAAATAAAAAATATTATCTAAATAATAGTTGCTTATATTATGGCCTTTATTTAGATTTTTGTTGCATTGAGAGTAAATCTAAATATAGGAACCATATTTCATATAAATCAAGTATACGCCATGGTGACCCCACTAAGAAAGCTACATTAGCAAAGTTTTACACTCGCATTGCACTCGCTGCGCGGTTGTTGTCTGTACTAGGACGTTGGTGAATCTGCTCTGTTAACCGAACTCGTATGTTAGATAACAGAAATTGGTCGCTGTTCTTGCACTTACTTGCATGTTTATTTCCAATTTCCCGGCGCATTTCCTCCGTGCGATTTGTCAAATTGGGCTCAAGTGGAAACTGGGCGAATGTCATGTTCTCGTTCCGCATTTGTTTTCCCAAGGATTTCATCATCAGGAAGCAGGTGTGCATACCCGCCACGCTCCGCTGGCCATCGCGTTCGTAATAGAAGATGGAATGCGACCAATTGTGCCTGAGAAACGGAAACGGAAACTGTATAAGCTGACATGGCTGTCAGTGTCACTCTAATGGCACTTACCGCTTCATCACGTTTATGGTCAGCTCGGAAATGGTCTCAAAGCTTAGCATTCCCGTGCGGAGCAGCATGTAGAACTCGTCATTGCAATCCGTTTTCTTTTGCTCAAAGTCATAGGTGGAACCGCCCACCGAAATCAATGGAGTGCCCTGGCTGTTGAAATACTTGGTTATCCGGCTAACAGCAGCTGTGGGAAAATAATTGATTACATTTAGAAAACAAATGATGGTGTCTTGTACCCACCCAGAGAATAATCACAGACGGGACCGAAGATCACCTGGGCGCACTGCTTGATGATCCCATCCATGGCCTTGATCACGCCCAAAGAGGCATCACATTTGGTATCGTGGGCCAACCACTCGAAGTCAATGTGTGGCGGGATGAGAGCCTTGGCGCGGATCTGTTGCTCGGCCACCTTCAGGATGGGCAGGACTCGCGGCAGGGATGCCTGGTACATGTTGTCATCCGGCAGCAGGACCAGAGCTCGGATGGTGCAATTCCTGCCACTCGCATCACAAATGGCTTCACAATCGCGGGCCGGCTCCTCGCGACAGTTGGCCAGGCAGCCCCCGGGACCGAGGATAAGGCCAAGAGCGAGGAGGAGAAGCACGGCTTTGCTCATTTGAATATTGTTTACACCTACCACCTGAAGGCTAGATACTTCAATCAAATCGCGTGAATCGCAATTCTCGGTTGCTGGTGTTTCATGGTATATGCCGAATATGCTTTGCTCTTTGGTTTGGCTCATTTGCATAGTCTCAGATCTCAATTAGACTTCACAGCAATTGCGGTTTCTCTTCCTTCCTCTCCCTATGATTTTCCCTATCCTTGACTGTGTTTGCTTGTGTTTGCTGCAAGGACTCTCGGGTAATTAAGTTGCTTTGATTGCTCTCATAATTAAGCCAGAGTTTGGCCGCTGCATGCTTGCTCCTTCTGCGAATGGTGCGAATCAAGTGATTGAATTCATTAGCAGCTTCCAGGCAATTTGTGAACATATAAATCATTAAAGTTTTAATGGGTGATAAGTGGGTAGGGAGATAAAACCATAAATTACTGCTCTCTAAGCTAGTCCTTAAGTAAATTTCTTTTTAAAAGTTACCAACACTATACATATCGAACAATTTTTAATAAATTTTAACTGAATCATGGTGATTTTCTAATCAAATTTGTTCATGAATGGAATATTCCCACATTGACTCCCAGAGGTGATTTATCATTTGTTTGGAAGTGTCACTCTGTTTAAATCAATGTCTTAATTTATACCTATTTTTATCTTGTATATTTATATTACGGTGTCATAAATATAGTTAAGACCTTTCCCTTCTTCAAAGTCAATTATTTAACAATTTCCACTTTTATCAATTGTGAAGGTTCCGGGAGTCATAAATATCACAGTCTTGGCCTGTTCGTAAATATCTTTATTTTCCGTTCCGGCTATCACATTCTCAGGCAGATACGCAGTTTATTGATAGGAAAGGGAACAACAAACTTTATCTCTCATTGAAATGCAATTGTGACTTCACAGTGTCTCCAAAGTAAACAAAGCCGTCGAATGCAGAACCTCCCCCGGTGTATTAATCAAATATATTTATATTTACGATCCCCGCCTTAATAACATTATTTGGACAAGCAATGCTGGCTGAATGGTTTGTGGCTTTTACGATTGGTGGAACTGCTGCTTACTCATTGAACATTGCTGCCCAATAATTTGTCCAATTTCCATCGAACTTGATGCAGCAGATAATGAACATGGGACCTGTTGTTTATGGCTAGTTCCCTGGAATCGCTGGATCGCTGCATGTGGCCATTGATAAGGTTGGAATGATATTTACGGAAATCACGCAAAAAGAAAAAACTTACAATATGAACGTTTTAAAAACTTTTGGCGTCACAAAACAGTTCCGGCGGCAATCTACTGAAACGTCATTAAGGTGGTAAAACCAACCGAAAAACAAGCCAAACACTTCGACACTGCCAACAATAATAACAAAAACATGTCAAATGGTAGTCAACATGCTGCCATGTCTAGTTAGTAGTTCCCCGATTAATAATCTAATCGTGACAAGCGGCAAATGTGTGATGATTGTGTAGAGCCGAGAGTTCATTCAGTTACTCATACGGTTTGCTATCAGAGCTACTCTATATGGTGTGAACTTTGAACTTGAAAGAAAGGATCCTAGGATAAGAACCTCAAGAAAGTGAATAAAGTGACCTTGGAAAAGAGTTTGATTTTAATAGAATTTATACTGATAGCTGAACATATCCTGAATGTTACTTAAAAGGTTGCAAGTTTAAATATGTCTTTGGGATGATGAATATACATATAAATATACTGTCTAAAGATTGTTTAATATTCTAAGATGTTTTCAAATAAATAAATAATAATAAATAAATAAATAATAAATAAATATTTGCACAATTAGTTATTAAGAGACACCTTCATTGATTCGTATGCTATTCATACATTCCCCTATAGAGTATACTACCATATATTATAACCCATTCCGGATATAGTCAAAAGAGACCACCGGGGCAGTAAACTATTTTCGTATTTCATTCGGGGGCCAGACAAGAGCATAAGTATTTTATCTGGTTACCGATAAAGCGACCTGTGTAGGCTGAACTTGAGATTGCGTATACGCAGATTGGCCAACTTCGATTGCGATTGGAAAGTCCCACAAATGGAACCCCGAAGCAGATGATATGATGATGATGATGATGGAACGGGGAAGCCGCCGGGCCAATCGCTGGGCAAACAAACGCCAAGCAGCTGCAATCGAACATTCGCTGGCAATCGGACCTGTCGCCAATTAATAAGAATTCATCACTTGGCCCGCGGCACTCGACACCGGCCGGTGACAGTCTACAAAATACAGAAAATAGAAAATAGAAAAAAGGAAACCGAATGCCCAATGGCAGGGAGATATCAATAACTCTGTGGGTCATGTGCCTGCCAGCGATAGTAGCGATCGGTGGTTAAGGGGATACCGGAATCAGAGGAGCTACCAATTTCATTTGGCCAAACGAGTGGCAGGGTCGAAAAGTGGCAACATCAATCATACTGAAGCACACTATTTGCATTGATATAGAAGTCCAGAAATAGAAGCGAAGCCAATATTTTCAGCGTTCGCCACTCAAGGCGAATCAAATAAATGTATTAACAAATTGGCATGGACATCATCGGCGACTCTTATCAGGTTCTGGGCCAGCCTTCAGTCGAACGTCAGTTTATTTTTAGCCACCTGATTAAGATCGCGCCGCCCGAAAGCCGTAGGAGAGGGCCCGGCGAATCAATCATGTCCGCCACCACCATTGGCACCACTGGCACCACTGGCACCACTGGTTTTTTCCCGGAGCCTGTCCGTAAGCCCATCGATGGTAGACGGTGCTAAGCCCCGCACTCAGGAACCCAGACACACATGGAAGCGGCCCGTGCTCGTATTTGCCGAACCTTTATTCATGTTCCTCAGTCTCTGCCTCTGGCTGCTCCTCGTTTTATCAAGCACTCGATGTGTAATGCAAACAAATCTAAATCGAGGGTTTTGGGGTTTTGCATGCGTGCTGTAACCGAGAACGGCCAAAACAAACTTGTTGACCAAGAAAATGCCTTTGGGCCGAAACTCTAAACTGTGTATGCAGTGTATTGGGGATATATTTCAAAGGGGGAGCAATTACTCATCAAGGCAAATATGTACTTTTTGGGAAATTAAGTCAATTTGATTAAGAAAGTAATTTCTTAAATAAGCTAAATGAATTTCATATTTTTAGTCAACTGTTCTAAAAGAAAAAACGAAAAACTAACTAAGTTTTTAATATATCTTAGTAACCAAAAAACATGATTTAAATACTTTCGAAACTGCAAGGAATTTTTATATTTTTCCTATTGAATTTTGATATAGTTTTCTTTCTTAGTTCAAATTTATAGTTATTATTATTCTGCCACTTAAACTTACCCTTCCCAGTTAGTGATCCAACGCAATTTCTATTTATATACAGAGTTACCCAATGCCAATAATAAGTACAAATAGAATGAAATGTAAACTTGTACATGGAGTACAACACTCAATTAATTGTCGCACTTCAATCCGGGCTACTACTTCACGCTTTTTATGTTCAATATCAATCTATATATTTTTTATAGGAGCTATATAACCTTTGGCAAATAGACGCAGCGATCGAATGGAATGGAACAAGAAGACAAACCGTCTACGATTGGGCCTTTTTCTTCGGCTATTTATAGACATTTGTTTATTTTTAATGTGCAATCAAGCTGCCTTTTCTGCCGTCTGTCTGCCCCGCTCGATAAGATTACGGAAAAGTCCATAATAAATACACACACACGATATTCTCACCCCTGCAACGCGTGCGAATCCATACGGACATCAAAAAAGAGTCAGTTGCCAACCCCGATTTCAATATCTTACTGCAATATCAGCCTACTCGAAAATATATACAAATCGGTTTTAGATCTCCTCCATTTGCATGGAAACTTAAATATCCATTTGTCACCCAAGTATAATTCAAAGGGCTTTGACAATGCTAAATTTATATTATTTATGAATTTTTAATGCCGACTTAGTTTCAATTAGATTTAAAAAAGGCAAACGGGGGTAAAAATAATGAACGGTTTCAGTTGGAATTTGTGGGATTCCCTTGATGCTTTTGACCCTGTTTTTTGTTTATTGTCTAGACAACACAGATAGTCTTCAACTCTGACCCCAAACACTTTAACAAGTGACCGTGCAGGCGTCGTGTTAAAGTCCAGGGAATGGCTTGGCTTGTGCAGCTCAACTGAGGTTTAACGAACCGTAATTAAATCTCTGCTTAAATGGATTTAATTAATTTTGGTCGTGTTTAAGTGTCCGGTGTGCAATGGCACCACATGGCCGGGCATTAAATGGTCTTTAATTTGGGCCATTCATGCAGTATTTTGTGGAGGATATAACACTGCGTAAAGTATGGAATTAGCAGCACAAAATGTGCAATTTGCAGTGACACTTCCTATTCGCTGATTAATATCAAAACTTTTCTCCTTACCACTGAACATCAAAACATTTTCGGTGCCAAGATAAACTTGCTGGAAACTTGGCAGAAAAATAAACTTTTGGGGTTTTTGCTATTTTGAGCTGATTTGGCGAGGAAAGTTTTGCCAAACCCTTTTGTTGAAAAATATGCTCATGTTTACTCGGGTATTGGCTTACCAATTGATTAGTGAATATTTACGTTATCAATTGGCCAGAGCTGTGCAATATGCCAGACGGGGCTGTGTTCGCCTGTTTCGCCCCCTTTTTTTGTGTATATTACGTATACGCCCCATGGTGTTTGCCTTACTATAATGCTGCCTACTTAACAGCATCGACCTCGAATGTGTCACTTTCCATTCGAGTTGGCCTCCTCCCCCAAATAGTGCTCTAAATTTATGCTAAGCAGTTATGGTGCTGACAGGAGCGAAGAGAAAACCGGATAATGTGTATTTTTGCACTACCCACAATCTGCAGGAAAACATTCGCTTATTTAATGAGCTGTTCTTCTCGATTTAATATTTCCGCACCTTAAGAGATTTATAAGTTTGGTCCTAGTTGCCCAAGGCAGCAAGTCCCTTCTTTCATTTTTGTTTGGCCAAAGAAATCTCGATGCGGCGAAGCAGCAAAGAATCCGCCTCAATGATTTATGCAAATTCAATAATAACAGAATGCGGCGTGTGAGTGAAATGTGCGATACAAAGTCAACTCTCACCCCTTTTCTCGATGCCAACTTACTTTGTCTACACACAACCCCTTTGGGAATTTTGCGTCTAGGTATTTTATTTTAATTTCGTAACTAGACGGAGGCAACTT